TCGCAGCTCACATGACATGACTATACAAAAGCCCTTTTCACAGGACTATTTGGGCTATACGAAGCATGTCTGTTTCAAGCAATGATCTTCCAGAGCGGTTGGCAGAGGTATTGGCGCAGATGTGGAGGACGGGCGGAAACGCCTGTCTCTCCACATGTTTCGAGATCGTCGGTCAGTCCGGAAATGGACGATACCCTCCAGTTGAAGGTCAGATGTCGCATGAGTATGTCTCTTGTCTACGACTCTGTTTGGCGATGGAGAGAAGATTTTCAAGCCAAAGGAAAGAATCTGGAATGTACGTCCTCTCTCACTATCAATTTACGTCTGTCCGTTTACATATCCAGGCTTGTGATTCTAACAACAATCAAACAGCCTTCCTCAAAAACCCAACCAACCCGGACTCCAATGCAGACTCCTCAGCGTCCTCTGTTACCCCGTTACGCGGTACAAGCTCAACGCCTGGTGTTCCCGGCGCAGACTCCAACCTTTCATCCGCACCATCATCTCACACAATTAACATCGGCGGAGAAGGGAATCTCAATACATCTAGTTCCGGAAACGGGATGGGATTCCTGGGTGGTTTCATGGAACCGAATTACGAAGTATTTGATCCTCTAAATTGGATGCTGGATGGGCTGGTGGACTTCCCATACTCGCTAAATCCGGTTCAGGGACTGGAGTCTTAGGGTATCTCCTAGCCTTCCCTTCCCTTCTTTTTCATTTATTCGTCACATTTAAACAACTATATACTGTTTCTTTATATTCTTATCAGAATAGAACTCTTCTTTTTGTAGCTGACCTTTCCTGGTTATTTTACATTTCTATTCTCATTCTATCAAAACATAATTTGATCCAAGTCGCTACCACGGTTATTCATTTTAGTGAGTTGTATATTCGCCCGAGAAAACATAGAGAAGACAATACATTATCTTCTCTGTTTCTTGGTCTTGCTGGGACCCATACGCGTGTAATATGGTCCCAGGCATCGGAAAGCACCCCGTAACAAGACGTTGTACGTCGCAGCAAAACTTCGCAACTCGAGGTTTCTCAAGTGTGATTGCAAGCCCACAATTATCGCATCTGGCCTTGAAATTTTTGTTCCCAAACCCATTGCAACGCTCGAAGGGGTGATCCATCGATCCAATCCGTGGGTTTTCTTGTTGCCAAGGAACAATTACCTGAGCCTGACATTTGTGGACATTTTAGAGACTTACATTGGCTGTCATAAATGTTATCCCACTGAAGGCCTGTTTGCAGGATGAAATTTGCCGTTGCTTCAGGTGGTGGAGAGTATTATTCAAATGTTCCGTGGTCGATGCAGGAGTTGATCATGCATGCCCCATGGTAAACCCGTCCTCCAGAAGTTCATTTTACCCATGCGAATGCAGTCTTCAAGGAAATCTCGAGGATTCAGCATATATGCATGCCAAACCGTTAATACATCTGCGAATAAATAATAATTAGTATTTTGCAGAAGGGCATATATATATCTTCAGAGGCCCGCAATCTTCCTTGATGACCCCGGAGTTGGTCATATGGATTAGCATCATATATACTCATGCATATGTCAAAAACATCAAAATCAAAATAAATTAGATATTGTATGTAGAATAAAAGGAAGAGAAGAGGAACAAAAGTTCAATTGAGAGAGATCTCTCTCTGAGAAGCGGTTTCACTGGAGAATGGGTTTGAAAAAGTAGGGAGAATATTGGCGTCGACGGCAGAAGGAAGTCAATTGACCAAATTACTTTTTCCCTGCTGTGGATACTGGTAACATGGTCACTCGTTTGGCTTTTACGACAGATCCAAAATAGACAACTTCGACCAAAGGGCGTTCTTGAGAAAGGGTATCTCGTTCGGCGAGCGTTTGTCAATCCTGAGGAATGTTGCTATGAAACGAGAATTGAACGGTGTTGGAGGTATCGCCTAGAATAACCCATCAGGTTGGAGATCTCGAATCTTCTTACCATTGTATGTTCTATACGACTCGTGAGACTCCTGCTTGTCATGGCTCAAGGGCCATTGCCAACTTGGTGGCACCCGTAAGCTGCGAACATTGGTGATAGCACCTGAGAGGGTACAAGGCACTGGGAAACTATTTTCTCATTCTCCCTGCACGCCCAGACCGGATTTGATGCCATTGGAAGTTAGCATAAGAGAATATTAGAGTTGAAAGAGCACCCTACTTCAACGAGATAACCGTGGCACATGTGATAACTACAGCACGCTCTCAAATGTGTGATCTGTGCTTGTATGTGAATCATTAGTTGGAAAAATATTCTTGTGTTCCAAAAGATGCTCGAGAGGCGATGTGGTATTTCTGATATAACTAACTCTAGATGCAGTTTGTGGGTCTCCATACATACACCAGCTGCGAATATGATGGCGCATGGCATCGTCTCTAGCTACCTGTTTCAGGTGCTCAGGAAGGAAATACAAGGGTTTCCCATCACTTCTAGACCTGTGGAGTATATATAAATAATTAAAAAAAAAAAAAAAAAAAAAATGAAAATAAATATAAAATAAAAATATTACGGATAATATAAAAGAGATGACAAGGGGAGAAGGAACATGAGAAAGTTTGCGTGATATGTTGTCATGGGTCAATTTAAGAATGCGAGATATGAGAGACGAAGAAGGTAAGCCGACGGAAGGGGGTATCACACCAGACCATTAGAGAGTTCAGAGTTCGAGAAACAGAACGACAGCATTCACAGTCACGTAAAATGGAAGGCCTTATAAAAAGCCATTCAACGAGCGTCGTAGAGAAAATGCACGAAAAGACAGCGTTAAACCGCCATCAAAAAAATAGTCTAGCTGGGTGTCAACGCCTTCATAAATGGAAATCCAGCCACCCGTGTGACGTATTTAAAAAAGATTGAAATCGGAACGAGATGGAAAGCATTTGGAGAATAAAACAAACATAAACCCGGAATTCGTCGCGTATGGTCGTCGACTATGGGACTCTGTCCATACCAATATGAGTGCTATCAAAGAATTGAACACCTACCCTCCTTTCTCTTTTTCCTTTCTCCATCACCGTCGCTCCATTCAGTCATTCTACCTCTCAACTCTTCGTCCCTCCCCCGTCGTCCTACTTCTGCACCAGAATGAGAACTTGAAATCATCCGGCCTGAGCGTGTGTCAAAAAACGCGCCACCCATTGCGAGCCTGCGACGTGGTATATCTTGCGATCTTGGCCTAGAATGTTGAGTTTCTTGGTTGGAATGGACGTTATCAAGGGCCTCGACACGACGAGGTTCATGAGATTGAAGATGAGGTGAGGACATGGCCTGAGGCTTTGTAATAATCGGTGAAAAGTTGGGTGGAATGGAATAACGGTAGGTGTAGTGTGTGCGTATTGAATCCGATAGCGATGATCTCGAATGAGTGGACTGTCTTGCTATTTGGAAACCCTCAATGGAATCACGTGCAGCTGACAATCGTCTATTTTCTGTGTGTATGAAGTCGGAAGTGGCGGCTGGGGGGGATGTATTAGGATCTAAGTCGAAATGATCTGTAGGCCCATTCCTACCAATTACTCGGGCAGGCATTGACCCAGCTCCCAAAGCAGACCCAGGAATAATAGATAAAATTGGGCTTGGATTTTCCAAAGATGATGCCCGAGGCGGCCTAGCGTTTGGAAATTCTGCTGTCAATGATGATGCTTGTGTATTTAGTACAGGGGGTTGAGGCGGGACGGGAAAGAAAGATGGTTCAGTTCCATCTCCATGGTTCAGTACGAGAGGCACTATCGGACGGCTTCCAATATGGCGAACCTGATGAATACCAGACTGGCTCTCGGTTGCAGAAATCATCCCGGATACGCCATCGGTAGCTGCTCTTGTATGACTAGAGGAGGAATGCGAGGTATTATTCCTCCTAAGTAGGTTTCCTTGCCCTGAAGTCTCTGGTGGCGTTCCCACTCTCATCCTGAGAAGGGGAATACGTTCCATGGTTGACCTCGTTCGTTCTGTAGCATTATGTGCAGTGGATTCAAATCGGGATATTTGTGTGCGTCGCAGTCATGGGTAACATTTCCATGAGACCTCAGTGGCAGACGGTTAGTCAGCGAGGGCAGTAGCGTCCTTAGAATATGATCCGGCAGAGGCTCATCCGCATCAGGGGTATAAGGTGGCGGCGGAGGAACCCAGTTGTCTGCATCACTTTCGTGCGGCACCAGTGGTCGCCGGTTCACCAAAACTGAATTTGCATAGCGGGGATTTTGGAAATGATTCCGATCATGGTCAGCAGTTGCAGCCGTTGCAGCCGTTGCAGCCGTTGCAGCCGTTGCAGCAGTAGCTGCTCGACTAAGGAGGTTTTGAGATCGTGGTTGGTTGTTGGTATACGGAATCTCAACAGCATGGATGTCAACAGCTGAGTTGGGATCTGTGGGGGAACTAGGCTGAGAAAAGCTATTTCGGTGAACCCTAGTTGGGACGGGTGGGGTTTCAAAACGCGTACTTCCAATGCTGGCACGATGTCTGGCGAGCGTAGCAGAGCGCTCAATGACAGTATTACGATTTCTCCCCGACCCTCCGCGTCTATTAACTCGCGTTCTCCTTCTCTCCAGCTCAACTTCGACATCCATAGTTGAATCCTGTTCCGGTAGAGGTATTGGAGCCGCTTCGCCCACCTCAATTGTCAATTCAACTGTATCCCCATCAGTCGATGAACGCGCAAAGTCAAAAATGACAATCCTGCCGCCATCGACTGGCAAAATATCATCACACATTTCTCCCAAGAAAGAGTTAACGCCGCCAGGAGCTGCTGCCACGAGTCGCTGGAGACGTTTCGTTCCAGAGCTTCCAAGGTTGACGCCATCCACCCACTTTATTGCGGTGATATCATTCATAGATGACAATACCCGCCCATGGATCAATTGGCTGGGTGGTGTTATCACCTTGTTCAGCCTCTGGGAATTTGTACGGACTGGTTTTAAACCCCAATTTTTCTCTAGCACGACATTCGATGCAGAGGGTCGATCCGAAACATCTGGAATACCATATAGCCATACCCCAGATCCTTGGAAGCCCAATGCCAATAGTTCCCCATTACAGCCTGCCGTGGGAACAAAGCTTGGGCCGGGTTCTTTTATCTCGCCGTCACCTCCGGGTCCCACAAAGTACGTAAACCCACCCCTAGCATCATCAATCTGGCCAAGCCGAAAAACTTGTAACTGGGTGTCATATCGAACAATCCAAGTGATGCCCGCATCAACAACGCTCCAACCGGACGAGAGTGACGTTATTGTACCCAATCG